ATTCGGCGTTGATCCGAGAATATTAAACCAGTATTTCAAACATCTAGTTTAGAAGTTTCTGTATAAAAGGTATCTGCAACACTCGCCATACACCGTACCATTTTATTTTTGATGGACAAGACAGATAAGAATTGTTTACAGGCTAAAAATTGTAGTTTTTCGTGACAATCGTATCGCAGAAATGCCATTCAAAAACCGGATTGTCTACATTTGGGCATCAAATAATTACTTAAGAATTGACTTTCACTTTGTGGGAGTTCATTGGAGTATGAACAGTCATAGAGTGAGGGCCAAACTGTATGAACCTGGGAGCTTCATACTCCAATGAACTCACACAAAGTGAAAGTAAATTCTTATAATTTTTGGTATCACTATTATTTTACCGCAAAGGATCTACATCTATACGCAATATTTACTATGCGTGACTTCATGTTTACACTGACAGCCATACAACAACCAGCTGTATCGCGGAATACAATAGGTCCTCAAAACGAGAGGTGACATGCACGTATATATGCTCAACATGCTCTACAGGAACAACTTGTGTAGTTTCTTTACAACAAATGTATTCAAATAATATCCTCATAAGATGAGAAATGTCTGTTAAGAACTACCTCAGTAAGTCAGTCACAATGACAGCGGGTCGTGATACATTTACATCAAGTACTACTACAAGACGTCAAAATGGCCGACACGATAAATGTATCGGGAGAGATTTCGACAGTTGATAATGAACCTGTGGAGGTTACATGTTTTAGTCATCATTGATCACCCGGTCCATCATTGAAAGGTGATTAAAGATGTGTTAATTATACACTAAGGTAAATTCATAGATTGCTGTAGACTGTCACTGTCAGCCTAAACACGAATCGAGTCGATACTTCGATAGTTTGGATATGCATTTCTTCGTTTTGTTCACTAAGGTTCGGTCGTAGCGAGGATGTTGTCAACGTGCATGTTGACGGGGAATTAGCTCTTGGGGGAATAAAGGACAAAATCGACATCACTGTCCCGGAACGCTTTATGCACAACATGTAAACAATAAACAACAATTGCACAATGAGCGGAATACCTGCTCTGACAACACAAACACAGCAATGAGCGGACTTTCCAGCTCAGGCGTACAAGAGGTGAGCGGAGCTCCAGCTCACCTCAGGGCGTTTCCTACGAGCAGCATATCCTGCTCGAGGTCGTCCCTATGCCAGCACTCGGAATACCAAGCCTGACTAACACCGTAGTAACTGTGTAATGGTAGCACATATATAGTAATGAACAACAATGGACAGACAAAGAGACAACGACGTTGCTTTGGACATGTGGGCGTGATTAACAAACACAGTTCATGGGATGATCAATTAGGGCAATAAATGCCATACTATAAAAAGCAGTAGTTAAAGGGAAGTAATATGGTAGTCCAGGCTGACTGACAGTCAAAATACAATGAAATGTTGGTGAGGATTAACAACGGGGATTAGCGCCTAAAACGTAATGACAATTAAGTTATGGAGACATGGCTACAGGGTAAATTGCCCTTGAAGTCAAATGTACTGCAGACAATGGTAGTCATAAATCAGTCGCTATGACAACTTCCCTCCGTTCCGTGAAGCTTGGACCCCAAGCTTTGACAAGTCCAAATTGATATGTGTGAACTTTTTCACCAACGGAAACAATAGTGCAAAATGTGAACAAAATCAGTTAGATGAATTCATGATATCGTTGAAATTCTTGTGCAACAAATATACCTATGCAATGACGGTATGAAAGTGATCATCTAGCCAATTTGAATTAGTTCCAGTTTGAAAACTAACCAAGTGATCTTTGTAATGTGCAATTTCACTACAAGGTAATTACTACTTTGCACAGATTCAATAAATATATCACTGAAGGTTCTTTGAATTCAGGAGTCTGGCTTGGCGGTGCGACTCAGTACCGAATAATGATAATGATTAATGTCATAAAAAGTACAAATTCAACATCTCAGCAAATATTTCGCATAAAGAAATTTGAAACCAGGAGTCTAACTTTACCGCGCGACTCAAACGTTACTTGTGGGTACGTTTGCCCTTTTAAGTACAATGGGTGCTCTTCCCGTGTCTTTAACGGAGCTTGCCCATATGTTATGGGTGCTATGCCCAAGGAAAATAATAATCCTTAATTCCGACATCAAAATTCTGAAATGCTGAATACCGCTGTGTTGTTAATTACTTAATACTGACATACAATATACATGTGTGTGGGTGGATAACCCAAGAAAATCCCTAATCTGAATTCAAAGTCCAAGACAATACTTTCAAACTTGTACCAAACTGTGCACATTAAAAACTTGTAACGAATGACAAATTTGGTCGTTTAGATTTTTGAAATTACGAGTCTAACTTTCAGGTGTGACTCGATAACCCTACAGCTTAGGTTTGTCTGGGCCCTAGCTGTATCTATATGTCTGGCGTGGCCTAGAGACATTTCAAAGATTCCCTACACAATAACTTCAAAGATCTAGCGTGACTAAACATGGAATTGGAGTATATTGCACATATAAAAAATAATTTTGGAAAGACACATTTTGGCATTAATATACTGGCTTTGATTAAACATACCTGGTTGCACTTATCAACAGTCACACATCATATATCCTGGATTGAGTCCATGTAAGTAAACACAAATTAGTAAGTCCCAATGAGATATCTTGTACACAGTGTCCATCTTGTAGGTGCCCGTGAGGCGGTTTCTGTATGATCTGCATCATGATGGCTGTGGTCAGGATCACTACGGGATAGGCGTTTATACTTCCTTGGTCCTGTGTATGAACGAAATCTTGAGAGATTCGGAGAGATTCCTGTTGTTTTCTTCAATCTTGTTTCTTCATGGCTCGAGTTGATGATTGTTCTTCAGGGTGGTAGGCATACAGAGAGGTTACTGGATCGGGAGTAAACTCAAGAGTTACTCCAGCCGGATTCTAACACCAGTTGTCAACGTGCATGTTGACGGGGAATTAGCTCTTGGGGGAATAAAGGACAAAATCGACATCACTGTCCCGGAACGCTTTATGCACAACATGTAAACAATAAACAACAATTGCACAATGAGCGGAATACCTGCTCTGACAACACAAACAAATGCCATACTATAAAAAGCAGTAGTTAAAGGGAAGTAATATGGTAGTCCAGGCTGACTGACAGTCAAAATACAATGAAATGTTGGTGAGGATTAACAACGGGGATTAGCGCCTAAAACGTAATGACAATTAAGTTATGGAGACATGGCTACAGGGTAAATTGCCCTTGAAGTCAAATGTACTGCAGACAATGGTAGTCATAAATCAGTCGCTATGACAATATTCGTAAACGATCATGCAGTCAAATTCTCTGACGTTGGTCAATGTATACTGAAACCCTGAGTTCAAGATTAAAGGGTCTAAATGATCAGAAAGAACTCTTATGTATGTTCGTTCTAGGGAATTCCCAGGGGTTTCCCCAGGAATATGGAAGTAGTCCGTCAGTGTTTACGTCATTTCAAGAACACGATCTCGTGAAAAACGTATGAACGTCAAATTGTGTCGTTCTTACACTTATGAACGTAAATTTCGCGGTCATGTGACCGATCTCTCGTCCAATGGAAAAGCCGCATATCGTGTAAACTTCAAATTAAAAACGTATATCAGTGTAAACACCGCAAACACATCACTGTCAGTGTTGAAAACAGTGTCATTTGAAAAAACTAACTTTCATAAAAAGGCCACTCAGCCTTTGATATAGTATTTATTGTATTTGACTGCTTTAAAAATGAACGTATTTGTTTCCAAAACTTTGAGGGAGAATGGATAGTATCACTGAGCCCCAAATATACAAGTCGGATTAACGGTTCCTGCAGCAGGAATTGTATTGATTTCTCTTTTTGCTGTAGATATTTCTATTGGTGTCAGCACGTCTACGTCTAAATGTTCTCAATGCTTTGCGAGTGTCTCGTCTACCCATCTTACATTCGTCATTTCATGGTCCTAAAACTACTATAGTATCTTGATTATGCATAAATGTATGTTTGTTCATAAAATCTGACGAATCTAGGATCACATGGACGAAAGCATCTAAAGTCCCATCTAAGTTAAAATCCAGTTTACTCAGACGTGGTTGATTACAAGACTCCATCCTCTCCGACAGGCTGTTAAAAACGTTCCACAAAGGGATTATAATTAATTCCAAACATTGTATCTTTGAAACCACCACGTCGGCGTATCATGTTGGTTGCTCATGTTTGGGAGTCTAATGGTAAATGATGGAACCCGATCTATACGATCTCCAAGGTTAAACATGTCAATGTATTGAAAAACATATGGAGAACAGATAAATTAATAATTCACACTACATGCCCGGTGACCACAATATGTATATTCCCCTTCTGCGTCTTCATATACCCTGCCGTTAACAATAAATACCTGGAATGAATAACACATGTCTAACAATATCTGCCCAAATCTGTTTATCACACTGTCATGGGATTTACGATCATCAATGCGTATATCTTCCTCCTCACTAAGTAAGTAGTCACGCTACAGTCACCGCATAAAGTCACGCTACAGTCACCACATAAAGTCACGCTACAGTCACCGCATAAAGTCACGCTACTGTCACCACAAATAATCAAACTACCTGAAACATATTTATAAAGGATCGAGGGCAACCTTGACGCGCATATAACTCGATCAAACAGGCATTTTCTTCAATAATTGCAGTTGTTACAAACCAAACCACGTCCATGTAGAATATAGATTTAGTTTGAGCTGGTTCTACTGTCATGTAAGTACAAATAAACGTTGACCACAGAGCTGGCGCGTGCGTGCGTGCGTGCGTGCGTGCGTGCGTGAGTGAGTGAGTGAGTGAGTGAGTGAGTGAGTGAGTGAGTGAGCGAGTGCCTTTTCATGTGTGTGTATGAATGTGTGTGCCTTGTCTGTGTGTCTGTGCGTGTCATGGAATAAAGTTACATCCCTGCCTTTTTTCCCGGCACAGCAATACCTGGCCAAGTACGGTTACCTTGAGGTCGACCAACTTCAACACACCAGGAACCTCAGACATACCTGGAAACACGCCATCAGGTAACTCACTCACTCACTCACCCAAACCCAGCCAGCCACCCACTCACTCACTCACTCACTCACTCACTGACTCACCCAAACCCACTGACTCACTCACTCACTCACTCACTCACCCACCCACCCACCCACCCACCCACCCACCCACCCACTCACTCACTCACTCACTCACTCACTCACTCACTCACTCACTCACTCACTCACTCACTCACCCACCCACCCACCCACTCACTCACTCACTCACTCACTCACTCACTCACTCACTCCGCCTGCTCGAGTGCTGCTATATCTTTATCCGTTCTTCACATACATCTCTTGTCCATTTTCTCAAGATTTGTTCATGAAGACCCGTGTGTTTATATTTACCGGAGTGTTGTTCTAGTATACCCAGTGTTATCTATTTATCTACCTTGTGTTGTTTTTGATCATGTACACCGAAAGCAGGATCTGTCCCTCTCTCTTCACGCGTCTTGCGTCTTCCAGGTCGTTCCAGAGGTTCAACCATTTGAAGGTCAACGGAAGACTCAGCAGACAAGCCGTGAACATCATGAAGCAGCCTCGCTGTGGTGTACCGGATATAGATACTACCTTAGGCTCGCCCAATAGAAAACATCGACACAAGCGGGCCCTGCTCACAGGCTTCAAGAAAGCGGTGAACTCTGTTTATGGTTAGATTGGGGTGCTGCTGAATCACTCCGTGCAGATCTCGATTGTGCTGATTGCTTCCATGACGCGTTCCTGCAGCTACATATAATGAAATGACGTTTGTTTGTTTGTTTGTTTTTTTTGCTTAACGTCGTACTCAACAATATTCCAGCTATATGACGACAATTTGTAAATAATCGAATCTGGCCCAGACAATCCAGTGATTGACAGCATGAACATTTGGGATACGATGACATGCATCAACCAAGTCAGCGACCCTGACCTCCCGATCCCGTTAGTCGCCTCTTACGACAAGCATAATCGCCTCTTACGGCAAGCATGGGTTGCTGGAGACCTATTCCATCACGGATCTTGAAATGACGTAATCTGGTGGCTTTGTTGCCATGTCGTGACCTCATGTCTGTGTTATTCGTCATGTGACCTAATGACGTGTTAGTTGTCATGACGTGACCTCATGTGTTTATTAATTGTCATGACGTGACCTAATGGACGTATTCCTTGTAATGACGCGACTTCATGCCAATGTTTGTTGTCAAAACGTCACCTCCTACCAATGTTAGTTGTGAAGACGCGACCTCCTGCCAATGTTAGTTGTCATGACGCGACCTCCTGCCAATGTTAGTTGTCATGACGCGACCTCCTGCCAATGTTAGTTGTCATGACGTGACCTCCTACCAATGTTAGTTGTCATGACGCGACCTCCTGCCAATGTTAGTTGTCATGACGCGACCTCCTGCCAATGTTAGTTGTCATGACGCGACCTCCTGCCAATGTTAGTTGTCATGACGTGACCTCCTGCCAATGTTAGTTGTCATGACGCGACCTCCTGCCAATGTTAGTTGTCATGACGCGACCTCCTGCCAATGTTAGTTGTCATGACGCGAATTCCTACCAATGTTAGTTGTCATGACGCGACCTCCTGCCAATGTTAGTTGCCATGACGCGACCTCCTACCAATGTTAGTTGTCATAACGTGACCTCCTACCAATGTTAGTTGCAATGACGTGACCTCCTGCCAATGTTAGTTGTCATGACGCGACCTCCTACCAATGTTAGTTGTCATGACGCGACCTCCTGCCAATGTTAGTTGTCATGACGCGACCTCCTGCCAATGTTAGTTGTCATGACGCGACCTCCTGCCAATGTTAGTTGTCATGACGCGACCTCATGCCAATGTTAGTTGTCATGACGCGACGTCCTGCCAATGTTAGTTGTCATGACGCGACCTCCTGCCAATGTTAGTTGTCATGACGCGACCTCATGGCAATGTTAGTTGTCATGACGCGACCTCCTGCCAATGTTAGTTGTCATGACGCGACCTCATGCCAATGTTAGTTGTCATGACGCGACCTCCTGCCAATGTTAGTTGTCATGACGCGACCTCCTGCCAATGTTAGTTGTCATGACGCGACCTCCTGCCAATGTTAGTTGTCATAACGTGACCTCCTGCCAATGTTAGTTGTCATGACGCGACCTCCTGCCAATGTTAGTTGTCATGACGTGACCTCCTACCAATGTTAGTTGTCATGACGCGACCTCCTGCCAATGTTAGTTGTCATGACGCGACCTCCTGCCAATGTTAGTTGTCATGACGCGACCTCCTGCCAATGTTAGTTGTCATGACGCGACCTCCTGCCAATGTTAGTTGTCATGACGCGACCTCCTGCCAATGTTAGTTGTCATGACGCGACCTCCTACCAATGTTAGTTGTCATGACGTGACCTCCTGCCAATGTTAGTTGTCATGACGCGACCTCCTGCCAATGTTAGTTGTCATGACGCGAATTCCTGCCAATGTTAGTTGTCATGACGCGACCCTGCCAATGTTAGTTGCCATGACGCGACCTCCTACCAATGTTAGTTGTCATAACGTGACCTCCTACCAATGTTAGTTGCAATGACGTGACCTCCTGCCAATGTTCGTTGTCATGACGCCACCTCCTACCAATGTTAGTTGTCATGACGCGACCTCCTGCCAATGTTAGTTGTCATGACGCGACCTCCTGCCAATGTTAGTTGTCATGACGCGACCTCCTGCCAATGTTAGTTGTCATGACGCGACCTCCTGCCAATGTTAGTTGTCATGACGCGACCTCATGGCAATGTTAGTTGTCATGACGCGACCTCCTGCCAATGTTAGTTGTCATGACGCGACCTCATGGCAATGTTAGTTGTAATGACGCGACCTCCTGCCAATGTTAGTTGTCATGACGCGACCTCCTACCAATGTTAGTTGTCATGACGCGACCTCCTGTCAATGTTAGTTGTCGTGACGCGACCTCATGGCAATGTTAGTTGTCATAACGTGACCTCATGGACGTGTTACTTGTAATGACGTGACCTCATGGCTATAGTTGAATTGTAGCGATGACGGTCATGACGTGGTACAATGGACGTTCCCCTTTGTTATTGTCTGGTATCATGCCTGTCATCATCTGCCGGGTATAGATGTTGTTGCGTCCTGTCGCAGCTATGTCTCATGTTGACATATGGCAGTGAGATAATATCATTATATTAATATATGTTGATATTTTGGACGTATTCTGCACAAAGATATATCCATGAAGTCCCCTCTCCAAGTCTGACTGTTTGGTCTGTTGTGAAGTGGTGAAATGGGGGTTATTGCACTTATTAGCACTTATTATACTCTGTTCATGCTTGAACCACACAGTGTTAGGCTGATACGGTGCTCCATTCTGATTCCAGGATTGAAATGGCGGTCGAACCAGCTGAGGTGGAAGATGAGCCGCTACACTGGTCGCCTGACAGCTGAGCAGCAGTGGTGAGTCTGGCTTCGGGACGTCCTTGCGCTGGATCACGCTGAATGTAGCGTCACGGGACGTTCCCCTCTGTGTTAACTGGGTTTTTAAATAGAAACTTTTAAGACATTTTAGTATCATCCTACTACATACATCGACATAAACTTATGACGTTCCATGGCTGGATAAAGATGAGGTTGCGATGACGGAGAGTCGCTATGTTAAATGGCTTGTGAAGTTTATCGAGATGCGCAGAACGTCGTCCTCATATCTCTTTAATCTATGTTCTTTGATCGCAGTTTTTTAATGGCGGACATTTAAAATATAATCGCCCAGGGGTATTCCGATATGTCTGCGTGGGTGACTGATTCAGTGCTTGGAGTAATCTGTTTGTGTGTGAATGACTTCTACAAACGTTAACCACGAGGCCATTCATTTGCACCTGATATAGACATACACACACCCGTCGTTGAGGCACGCTCCACGAGATACACACAAGACGTACAAACGCACTGAACGTAAAACACACAAAACGTACGAACACACAAGACGTACAAACGCACTAAAATACTAACATAGATACATACAAAACGAAGATACACACTAGACGTAGATACACACAAGACTTACAAACACACTTAACTTACAATCAAACCTGTCGTAGTAAAACACGACACGTAGATAGACACTAGACAAACACATACACTAAACTAGAAGTACGGACAGAGTAAACGTACAAACACACTAGACGTAGATACACAGAAAACTTTGATACACACTAGAAGTACGGACAGAGTAAACGTACATACACACTAGACGTTGATACACAGAAAACGTTGATACACACTAGAAGTACGGACAGAGTAAACGAACATACACACTAGACGTAGATACACAGAAAACGTTGATACACACTAGAAGTACGGACAGAGTAAACGTACAAACACTAGACGTTGATACACACTAGAAGTACGAACAGAGTAAACGAACAAACACACTAGACGTTGATACACAGAAAGCGTTGATACACACTAGAAGTACGGACAGAGTAAACGTACAAACACACTAGACGTAGATACACAGAAAACGTTGATACACACTAGAAATACGAACAGAGTAAACGAACAAACACACTAGACGTTGATACACAGAAAGCGTTGATCCACACTAGAAGTACGGACAGAGTAAACGTACAAACACACTAGACGTAGATACACAGGAAACGTTGATACACACTAGAAGTACGAACAGATAGAAGGAACAAACACACTAGACGTTGATACACAGAAAACGTTGATACACACTAGAAGTACGGACAGAGTAAACGTACATACACACTAGACGTAGATACACAGAAAACGTTGATACACACTAGAAGTACGAACAGATAGAAGGAACAAACACACTAGACGTTGATACACAGAAAACGTTGATACACACTAGAAGTACGGACAGAGTAAACGTACATACACACTAGACGTAGATACACAGAAAACGTTGATACACACTAGAAGTACGAACAGAGTAAACGAACAAACACACTAGACGTTGATACACAGACAACGTTGATACACACTAGAAGTACGGACAGAGTAAACGTACATACACACTAGACGTAGAGACACAGAAAACGTTGATACACACTAGAAGTACGGACAGAGTAAACGTACAAACACTAGACGTTGATACACAGAAAACGTTGATACACACTAGAAGTACGGACAGAGTAAACGAACAAACACACTAGACGTAGATACACAGAAAACGTTGATACACACTAGAAGTACGGACAGAGTAAACGTACAAACACACTAGACGTTGATACACAGAAAACGTTGATACACACTAGAAGTACGGACAGAGTAAACGTACAAACACTAGACGTTGATACACAGAAAACGTTGATACACACTAGAAGTACGGACAGAGTAAACGTACAAACACACTAGACGTTGATACACAGAAAACGTTGATACACACTAGAAGTACGGACAGAGTAAACGTACATACACACTAGACGTAGATACACAGAAAACGTTGATACACACTAGAAGTACGGACAGAGTAAACCTACAAACACTAGACGTTGATACACACTAGAAGTACGAACAGAGTAAACGAACAAACACACTAGACGTTGATACACAGAAAACGTTGATACACACTAGAAGTACGGACAGAGAAAACGTACAAACACTAGACGTTGATACACATTAGAAGTACGAACAGAGTAAACGAACAAACACACTAGACGTTGATACACAGAAAGTTTGATACACACTAGAAGTACGGACAGAGTAAACGTACATACACACTAGACGTTGATACACAGAAAACGTTGATACACACTAGAAGTACGGACAGAGTAGACGTACATACACACTAGACGTTGATACACAGAAAACGTTGATACACACTAGAAGTACGGACAGAGTAAACGTACAAACACTAGACGTTGATACACATTAGAAGTACGAACAGAGTAAACGAACAAACACACTAGACGTTGATACACAGAAAACGTTGATACACACTAGAAGTACGGACAGAGTAAACGTACATACACACTAGACGTTGATACACAGAAAACGTTGATACACACTAGAAGTACGGACAGAGTAAACGAGCAAACACACTAGACGTTGATACACAGAAAACGTTGATACACACTAGAAGTACGGACAGAGTAAACGTACAAACATTAGACGTTGATACACACTAGAAGTACGAACAGAGTAAACGAACAAACACACCAGACGTTGATACACAGAAAACGTTGATACACACTAGAAGTACGGACAGAGTAAACGTACAAACACTTGACGTTGATACACACTAGAAGTACGGACAGAGTAAACGAACAAACACACTAGACGTTGATACACAGAAAACGTTGATACACACTAGAAGTACAGACAAGGTAAACGAACAAACACACTAGACGTTGATACACACTAGAAGTACGAACAGAGTAAACGAACAAACACACTAGACGTTGATACACAGAAAACGTTGATACACACTAGAAGTACGGACAGAGTAAACGTACAAACACTAGACGTTGATACACACTAGAAGTACGAACAGAGTAAACGAACAAACACACTAGACGTTGATACACAGAAAACGTTGATACACACTAGAAGTACGGACAGAGTAAACGAACAAACACACTAGACGTAGATACACAGAAAACGTTGATACACACTAGAAGTACGGACAAAGTAAACGTACAAACACTCTAGACGTTGATACACAGAAAACGTTGATACACACTAGAAGTACGGACAAAGTAAACGAACAAACACACTAGACGTAGATACACAGAAAACGTTGATACACACTAGAAGTACGAACAGAGTAAACGAACAAACACACTAGACGTAGATACACAGAAAACGTTGATACACACTAGAAGTACGGACAGAGTAAACGTACAAACACTAGACGTTGATACACACTAGAAGTACGGACAGAGTAAACGAACAAACACACTAGACGTTGATACACAGAAAACGTTGATACACACTAGAAGTACGGACAAAGTAAACGAACAAACACACTAGACGTTGATACACACTAGAAGTACGAACAGAGTAAACGAACAAACACACTAGACGTTGATACACAGAAAACGTTGATACACACTAGAAGTACGGACAGAGTAAACGTACAAACACTAGACGTTGATACACACTAGAAGTACGAACAGAGTAAACGAACAAACACACTAGACGTTGATACACAGAAAACGTTGATACACACTAGAAGTACGGACAGAGTAAACGAACAAACACACTAGACGTAGATACACAGAAAACGTTGATACACACTAGAAGTACGGACAAAGTAAACGTACAAACATTAGACGTAGATACACAGAAAACGTTGATACACACTAGAAGTACGGACAAAGTAAACGAACAAACACACTAGACGTTGATACACAGAAAACGTTGATACACACTAGAAGTACGGACAGAGTAAACGAACAAACACACTAGACGTTGATACACAGAAAACGTTGATACACACTAGAAGTACGGACAAAGTAAACGAACAAACACACTAGACGTTGATACACACTAGAAGTACGAACAGAGTAAACGAACAAACACACTAGACGTTGATACACAGAAAACGTTGATACACACTAGAAGTACGGACAGAGTAAACGTACAAACACTAGACGTTGATACACACTAGAAGTACGAACAGAGTAAACGAACAAACACACTAGACGTTGATACACAGAAAACGTTGATACACACTAGAAGTACGGACAGAGTAAACGTACATACACACTAGACGTTGATACACAGAAAACGTTGATACACACTAGAAGTACGGACAGAGTAAACGTACATACACACTAGACGTTGATACACAGAAAACGTTGATACACACTAGAAGTACGGACAAAGTAAACGTACAAACACTAGACGTAGATACACAGAAAACGTTGATACACACTAGAAGTACGGACAGAGTAAATGAACAAACACACTAGACGTAGATACACAGAAAACGTTGATACACACTAGAAGTACGAACAGAGTAAACGAACAAACACACTAGACGTAGATACACAGAAAACGTTGATACTTACTAGAAGTACGGACAGAGTAAACGTACAAACACTAGACGTTGATACACACTAGAAGTACGGACAGAGTAAACGAACAAACACACTAGACGTTGATACACATAAAACGTTGATACACACTAGAAGTACGGACAAAGTAAATGAACAAACACACTAGACGTAGATACACAGAAAACGTTGATACACACTAGAAGTACGAACAGAGTAAACGAACAAACACACTAGACGTAGATACACAGAAAACGTTGATACTTACTAGAAGTACGGACAGAGTAAACGTACAAACACTAGACGTTGATACACACTAGAAGTACGGACAGAGTAAACGAACAAACACACTAGACGTTGATACACATAAAACGTTGATACACACTAGAAGTACGGACAAAGTAAACGAAAAAACACACTAGACGTTGA